AAAAAAAAAAAAACCCAACAACAACAACAACAACAACAACAACACCATACACTGAAATTTCGGTTAAGAGAATACTCCCTCCATCTCAATGAGAGCCGTTTTGGTTAATCTTTTCAAAAACAGTGCTAGTTGACACTTTCTTCACCAAAAAATAAAAGTTTTTTTTGCTAAATTACTCTTATGTCGATTGTTCATCTACTAAAATTAAGTACATATAAAATACTTGTACTTTTTGCTTTAAGCGACATTTACTATGAACACGGCGCAGTATTAAATCGTGCCTAGTTTTTAAAGAATAAGATTATATAGCTGAGACTCTTACCGAGATTTCTCCACGAGCCCAATAATATGAAGCAACCGATCCAGCTATAACAGTAGACGAGCATGCAATGATGAATTGAGTGGCCCAATAGCCACCAAACAGATGGAAAAGGATAGCAACAGCTATATGGGACGTGTAGTGGACAGTATAGCCACAGCAGCTATTACAGCTCAGCTTCATTGTTTTGAGATCAAAGGCACAACAATTGGCACTACAGTCATTTTGGACTACAGTTCCCGAGCTAAAAAGATGAAGAGCAGCCGATAGCCAGAACATGTAAAAAATAGCTAGTATGGTGTATGGTATGATTGGGAAGATTATCAGGGCCTGTAATTCTCCAATCACTTTTGCAGCAACCTGGAATTTTAGAGAGAAGCTGGTTAAAGTAAGACATGAAAAGGAAGTGAAAAAGTGCAAGGAGGATTTACCTTCTTGATTATTTAGAATCACTAGAAAAAAACGTGGTTCTAACATCATCTCCAACCGAAACTCATTCACAAACTCATTTTGCACTAATTCTTCTTCAACCGACTAACTCATTCTCAAATTCAAAAGAATATTCTCGAAATATTCTCTCACATCAACTTTTACACATTTTCAATGCCACCCGCATATTTAATAAATTTACAAATTAGACTTAATATTATCTTATATTCAATTTCTAAAAAAATATAATGATTTATTATAGATTGACAATTTGTACACCTACAAAATATTGAAATACATATTTAATTATTTTCTTATTTAACTTCAAAAAATATTTTCGAAGGATGATAATAATTTATTTCCAATCTCTTATTAGAAAGTTGATAATTAAATTGAGTTTCCAAAATAATATTTAATTATTACACTTCATATAAATAAAATAAATATATAGAAACTCATATATAACTGTTATGCAGAAATCCATACCTTATGCAAATTAATAGGCCAATAAAGTTTCATACCCACAATGAACTAAAAATTAATTACTGACACATTTTTACAACAAAACAAAGGGAAATATCAATGGCCATTTGTAATATGACACAAAACAAAGGGAACTATCCATGGCCATTTGCAATATGGGGTCAACTTGCAATTTTGCGAAAAATATGCGTTGGTGAATACGAAAGAGCATATTTGCGTTTATGGAGACCAAAATTTTGAAAAAGAAAAAAAAAACATCTTAAGTTTGGGCTTGAGTCTCGGTTGGAGCAAATTTACGGTATAATTTGAGTTTTGAGTATTGGTTGGAGAGGCTCTAAAGTTCTCAAAACCCAACTCGGCAACTTCTGCTTCCAACTCGCATTATTTTAGTTGAACTTATATGAAGAGGGAGAAGGGATGCTTTAGATTCCTGATTTTGCTTTTGACTGAGTTTTACAATAAATAAATAAACACTTTCATTCAACTTATTCATCACACTTCCGTTTAACTAATTCAGGTTTTAGCTCTAGTTGCTAAAATTATCACCCTCGGATTCTCCATTAGTTTAAGCTCTTGTAAATCTGAATCATTTCTTCCGAAGTCAGAACGACGTGAAGTGATTCTTAATCCCCTCAAAAAAGAAAAATTCTTAAATTGAAGAGATGGCAGTTGGCGAGGAAACAATAGTAACTCGAATTTTCAAATTACAACCGAAAACATTAGAGTGTCGAAGCTCGAAAGACTTTCAAGAAACATTACACAAATGGATATATAATCATGGCAGTATAAAACATGTTATTTCTAGTTCTTATCTTTTTTTCTGTTTCCTTATATGAAAAAATACATTTTAGCTTTTCAATAACATGAAAATAACGTAATGTACCTTGAGGACTGATGTTGCCATGAGAATACGGCGGACTATAGCAATAGAGGACAAAAAGGCCGCAATCATCAGAGCTGTCATGAAAACTGCAGCAGCATGAAGGTGGTTTATCTCCTGAACAAGGCACAACAAAACTCACATTATAAAATTTGACATAATGATTGAAAACGATGAGTAGAAGTTAGAAAAGTCTTCTTCTTTCCAAAGTTATCGTTTTTTTTTTTTTTTTTTTTAAATGCAATTTATAGTCCAACAAAAGGTATGCAAAATGGAAAATATGAATAATACCCTTGCAGATACATGATAGTACGGGTTGTGTTCGCCAATTATTGGGGAAATTGCATCATTTCCAATCCATCCAGCTGAAGAAAATGGAGAAAGCATTTCAATTAATTTTTAGACTAAAAAAAAAAAAATCATTTAGTTTAGAACAAGTCCTCAGAGTCCTAAGCTATAAATTTGTTTTACAAACTACAATGGTTATCCATCTAACAGTTTTTTAAATTTAAAAAATCCAATTTTCTCCGTAAGATTCACATAATAGATAAAACCAAAATTGGACCTGGAGACGATCATAAGCACCTTAAATCAAGAAACTATATGCTAACCTTTCAAATAATAAAACATGGTCACGGATACCATGAGAATATTGAAAACAACAACAGTAATCCACGGCATTCCCGCCACAAAATGACGAATCATCAAAAGCCATATAATCGATAGAAACAGCGGCAAAAATCCCCCACAAACGAGCAGCACGGGCCATGCTTTCCCAACATCAGCCACATATCTCTGCAAGTTGATATTTAATTAATAATAAAGATAACAACTAGTGAATGAAATTGCCCAGACCTTTAAACCACTCAAAATATCAAACTTTTGCAGAAAATTAAATTAATTCTGAGCACTAATCATCCGGAAAACATTACATACCTTGAGATTTCACTCATGATATGTCAGAAAAATGGAACAATTCTAAGCATTGTTTAAAATATACTAGAATAAGATAATTAAATTTTCAAGCATAGTCATAAATAGAAAGTGGAGATGATTTTTTTTTGTTTTTTTTGGTTCATTTTCATGCTTAGCAAATTTCAGAGTTTCATCACACCTTCAGTACCGATGATCGGGAATTAATCGATTTGTGGATGGATTTATCAATTGCAATGTCCTCGATGACTTTCACTCCACCCATTTGCTCCCAGTGAGTCAAAGATACATTCGAAGCACGTGCAATGAATTGACAAGTCCAATAAACTGATAGTGGAAGTTATACAAAAAACGTTAAAACTCAAATCTTGAGAGAAAAATCAGTCTTTGCAAATCGAACATAACTCCGTTTACTAACTACATTTCAAATGCAAAACGTTCAGTGTGCTTCAAATCAACCAAATATATTAAAAAATATGAAAAAAAAATGTTAATATTTACCATTGACACTAGGAAATATAACTGGATAACAAGGGCCTTGAAGCTGAAGTGAGCTGTTTCTAAGCTGTGGAGTGAGGTCCGCAAAATAAT